CGTTTTAATATTTACTGTATTCCAAACAGTCATTTAAAAAGTCATCAAATGAGCCATGCTTTGGCATCTTTAAAGATGATGTCACAATTTTGTGAAAAAAAATGGCTGTATCATATGAAACAGACATGGAATAAATGTACATATCAGGCTAGGGATTACTTACTTGCTACTGCATCCAGACTTTGCTTTTCCTGCAATCTCAACACTAGACTTAGTGTCTTTTATATTCTCAGTTTTTCCAGTACTTTTGTCATCATCCACTTCCATAAAATCATACTCATCAGATTTCTCAACTTTTTGTCGCTTTCTTGGATGACTTGGCCTGGAATCGTCTCCACTGTCTTCATTCTCAGATAATCTTTTTTTCTTTACTGCTTTTTTTATCCCAGGGCTTTTACTGACTTTATTTCTACTTCTCTGAGGTGTCTGCACAATCCTGGAGCTATCACCAACTTTATTCTTACTGTTCTGAGGGGTCGGCACAACACCAAAGCTATCACCAACTTTATTCGTACTGTCTGGAGGGGTCTGCACAACTCTGGAGCTAGCTCCAGTATTTTCTGCGTTACTTTGTGATGTTTTGACATTCCCGGGACTAGCACACACTTCAACAATCTTACTTGGTAATGATTTCGCTTTTGAAACGCTTCCACCAATTTTATCTCTAGGTGTTAAGTTACCAGTAAAATCTAACCTTGATACTGACTTCTTGGCATCCCCAATAGTGTCCTGTGTGATTAGATCTGACTCCCACTCTTCCAGCTCTTGTTCATGCCGTGCATCACACGATTCATCAACAAATGGTTTTTCTATCTCCTCAACATGTGTTTTGGGCTCGGACTCAGCTGGCTGGCATCGTTCCAGCCACCCGCTAGCTACTGTGGTCTTTCTGTGGTTATATGTTTTCATGACTACCCCAGTGCTACATGGAAAGCTTTTTCCAGCAGGAGTACTTGTAATTTTAATTTTTGACAGATTTCCAAAATGAGCTGATGGTGGAGTCTCAAAAGTATTGTCGCTTTTCTCTTTGACAATCTCAGCATCTTTATTAGGTTGAACACCACTGGATTTCCTTTGTCTGTTTCTGTTCTTCAGCGAAGTTGGTAAAGTCTAACAAATAAATATGCTTAGAATATTAAAAATTGTAATGAATGAATAATAACTTAGCAACTTTAAAGATTTAAGATCAATGTATATAGTCAAAGATTTCTAATATAAGGCGACGTCACTTTCATAGACATGTATGGAAATATGTGATGAAGATCTCACAAGAAGCAAACTCTTGCAATTTGCGAATGTTTGAAAGCAATCCCATTTATTGTACGTAAATCAAACGTATTTCTAACCAGTATGAGACACATTCAAAAATACCAAATGCTTTTTTTACATGCTTTGTTAATTTGCGAGGACACTAACAAAAAAAAATCTAGGCTGAACACAATCTATTTTTCTCACAGACTTATTAATTAGCATTAAGATTTCTGGAAATGTCGATTTTTCTTGTGATTTTGAGATTGTATCGTAATTTGTGTGACAACTCTATTCACTTCTGATCTTCATCGCACCCACTCATCTAACAAATCTTTGGTATAAGGAATGCTGCTCTATACAAAACACAAATACACAACTACACTTATGAATAATAGAAGCATACACCTGTCTGTATATCACCTGACATTTGTGGCCGAGTGTTGAGTTATGACACACTGCACAAAGTACAAAAGATGGACTTGAACTTCATTGAAGCATTGAAGGTATAATTACCTCAATGTCCAAAGAGTTTTCCTTAGTGTTCTTCATGAAATACAGATTTCCCCAATACTATTCCAATATACTAAGGCATTTTTATCAAATTTTGCCTCGAAAAGTTCAAGTCTGATGAGGCCAAAAACAAAAATAGATTTTTTTCATATCAATACGTGGTAAAGTAGTTGTATAGCTCTCTATATTTATACTATTCACAATATATCAAAATGTTGCACCCATTTTTAACTGCATGTATTAGAGTTTTTGCAAAATTCACTAAAGTGTTTACCTGGCACATAGCTTTTACCAATCTTACTGTGCAAAATAATACTTTATGAATTTCAAAGAGTGACCAAAAAACATCTGCATCGCATCAAGGAGTCTTGATGTATCAATATAACGAACAATTGCTACATCATATCAAAGCAAGATCAGTGAAATATAAGTACAGTGCCAAAAAAAAAAAAAGGAGTTTCTTCTACCTTTGAATATTTGGAATTCTGCTTGAGTTTGTCAGTGAAATGGTGGATAGAATAGGTGACATTGTCTTCTTGATTGGCATTTTTAGGACAGAGTGCGGACTTGTTGAGATGTGCACCCCAGACATCACAAGTCTCTGTTGTCTCTTTCGCTGTACCATGTTTTTTGAGTCTTGAATATTCCTGGTATGCATCTAATGAAGTGTAAAATGTAGGATGAGTTAGGGGGTACAGTGCAGTAGAGGAAAACACCTACAGTGTATCAGTGTTTGTGCTGGGTTTTAAAACGTTGAAGTCTCAGAGACCCTATAACCATGAAAATGTCCCATTTTTAAATATTTTTTTGTTTTTTAATCATACACTTTGTGCCGTCATTATAATTACCTCAATCAAATGTTGTCACCCAGCATGCATCAGTCACAATGTCACAACATTGATTCGTCAGTGCTAAGACACTCTTGAATGGGCTACTGGTATTTCCATGGTTACAGGTTTGTCAGAGGCACTGCACCCAGTTTTCACTAGTGTTGCTTTTTTGCTCTGTCTATCTATTGATAGACTTAAGGGGGGGGG